ACTTGAAAAGTTACCTTTCCTAATAGAAGATTTTAGCAAATGGAAAGAGATAACTTGCTTTTATACTTTATTTAGAAGACTGAATACAGGAATACAGGAAAGATAGTATTTCACAGATTAGTTTATAGAAGTAATCCAGTATAAGGAATACTGTGGAATATTTTGGTATAAAATTCATTCTGAAGGATAGGGGGTTATGAAAAAGGATAAATTGTACATCTTTTTAATATGGTTCTAGAAAACACTCTAGAATAAAAGCCTGATACGTAGTACCGTATCATTACTACATAAACATTGAGTGTCTGTCTGCCTTACACTTCCCTATCCACATATCCCTCTGCTCAGCGACACTGTGTAGCCAGGTGTACCTTCCCCCTGCTTTGACTTCTCTCGTTGATTCCTCATTACCATGTACTTCATCACACCTACCTAATTTTCTCAAACAGACCTTATCCCTACTTTCTATATCAGCACTTAGCATTTCACTTGTTCATTGAATTTATTACAATCTGAGTTATGCTTTGCTGATTGTGGGTCTTTAATGGAGTCGTTGTCTTCCACTGGACCAGCATCTGTGTCTTATTCGTGCCTGAACCATCACAACAGTCATTTGTAGTCTTGCTCACACATACTATAAATATTCCTGGCTCAGTGCCTGTGGCTCAAGTGGTTAAGGCGCCAGCCACATACACCTAAGATGGCGGGTTTGAATCCAGCCTGGGCCCGCCAAACAACAATGACGGCTGCAACCAAAAAATAGCCAGGTATTGTGGCAAGCGCCTGTGCTCCCAGCTACTTGGGAGGCGGAGGCAGGAGACTCACTTGAGCCCAGGAGTTGGAGGTTGCTGTGAGCTGTGATGCCATAGCACTCTACCCAGGGGGACAGCTTGAGACTCTGTCTCAAAAAAAAAAAAAAATTCCTTCATCTACCAGTATTCATATATATATATAGATATATATAATCTAGAAATGTATTAATAAAGCTGTAGGTGGCTCGGCGCCTGTAGACCAAGTGGCTAGGGTGCCAGCCGCATACACCAGATCTGGCGGGTTCAAATCCAGCCCAGGCCTGCCAAACAATGACAGCTACAACCAATAAATAGCTGGGCATGTGGTGAGTGCCTGTAGTCCCAGCTACTTGGGAGGCTGAGGCAAAAGGATCACTTAAGCTCAGGAGTTGGAGGTTGCTGTGAGCTAAGATGCTATGGCATTCTACCCAGGGTAACAGCTTGAGTCTCCATCTCAACAAGATAAAATAAAATAAAGATGTAGGTAGGGTGGCGCCTGTGGCTCAGTGAGTAGGGCACCGGCCCCATATACCAAAGGGAGCGGGTTTGAACCCGACCCCAGCCAAACTGCAACAAAAGAATAGCCAGGCATTGTGGCGGGTGCCGATGGTCCCAGCTACTGGGGAGGCTGTGGCAAGAGAATCTCCTAAGCCCAAGAGCTGGAGGTTGCTGTGAGCTGTGATGCCACAACACTTTACCAAGGACAACAAAATGAGACTCTGTCTCTACAAAAAAATATATAATAGGGCGGCACCTGTGACTCAAAGGAGTAGGGCGCTGGCACCACATACCAGAAGTGGTGGGTTCAAACCTGGCCCCGGCCAAAAACTGCAAAAAATAAAAATAAAATATATATATATAATTAAAAAAGAAAAGCTATAGGTGCTTTAGTAAACATATTAGTACTATTTTAAATATTAGGTATTTTTCGAAATCTCTGTCAATAGAATTCTGTTTGCTATGACCTTTGTGTTCAGATCATAATCGGACCTCTAAAAACCACACCTTTTTTTTTAATTTATGGCATTGGCTAGTTATAAAACCATATTCTTATATTGAATTTAGCCCTGTGGTTTGCACCTGAACTGTTTTTTTGTTTGGTTTTTTTTTTTTTTTTGAGACAGAGGCTCAAGCTATCACCCTGGATAGAGTGCTGTGGCATTACAGCTCACAGCAACCTCAGCTCTTGGGCTTAAGCAATTTTTTTACCACAGCCTCCCAAATAGCTGGGACTACAGGTGCCAGCCACAGCACCTAGCTATTTTTTTTGTTGTAGTTGTCATTGTTTTAGCAGGCCCAGGCCAGGTTCCAACCTGCCAGCCTTGGTGTATGTGGCCAGTGCCATACCCAATGGGCTGTGGGTGCTGCCCTGAACTGTTTCATTGAGACGTGTCAGTCAGTATTAAATAATTGAATATTTTATCATTTTTACTTCTTAAATTTATTGAGTAAATAATAATAATAATAATTTATTGAGTAAATATTTAACATGTGCCAGACAGTGATAGACTCCGGCACTCTCACCATGAAACCAGATATGATCTCTTACGTCATAGAGCTTCTAATATTACAGGAGAGACAGAGATTAACAGAAAGATGTACTTGTAATGTATTTTCTGAAGGGAAAATAAAGTGCTTTATGAAGATGTTAATATGATTTTAACTGGAAGTGTTTAAAAAGACTATTCTAGGAAAGTGAAGTATCACTGGGATCTCCTGTTGGAGTTAGGAATTTGTTGTGAGGGAGATATACCATGAGAAAATGCCAGGAAAGAGATCAGAACATGTAAAAGCCCTGTGGCAAAAAGGTGGGGGGTTAATTTAGTTTAAAGAAGTGAGAGCCAGTTTATACATAAAGGTGCAATTAATGGTCTGTTACAAGCACATAAAACAGTCAACATGAGGGACTTTTGAAAAAATACTGTTATTAGGCTGGGTGCGGTGGCTCACACTTGTAATCTCAGCATTCTGGGAGGCAGAGGCAGGAGTATTACCTGAGCTAAGGAATTCGAGACCAGCCTGAGCTAGAGTGAGACCCTGTCTCTAAAATTAGCTGAGCGTTACGGTGGGCACCTATAGTCCCAGCTACTCAGGAGGCTGAGGCAAGAGAATTGGCTAAGCCCAAGAGTTGGAGGTTGCTGTGAGTTATGATGCCATGGCACTTTATTGAGAGTGACAAAGTGAGACCCTGTCTCAAAAAAATATATATATATACTATTTTTAAAAATGCAATGGGGCGAAGTGGCTTCCACCTATAATCCCAGCACTGTGTGAGGCCAAAGCAAGAGGATTACTTGAGGCCAGGAATTCAAGACCAGCCTGAATAGGAGGGAGACCCCCATCTCTACAAAACAAAAATTAGCCAGGCATGGTGGCACATGCTTATAGTCCCCAGCTACTGTGCAGGGTGAGAGAAGAGGATCTCTTGAGCCAGGGAGTTTGAAGTCACATTGAGCTGTGATGATGCCACTGCACTCCAATGTTTGGGATTTGGGTGACAGATGTTTGGTTGATTAACCCACAGTTTCTGTGAAGTAAAGGTCCATTGGCATAGATGTCATCCAGATTGGAGTCTTTGGAGATACAAATTGTTATCTTCACGTCTGTGTTGAAGCCATGGTTAATATGAAGGGTAACCTCCTAGGGATAAAACCTGAGAGCATAAATGCCTAAGGAAGGTTCATTTACCATTCTAGCAAGAATGTTTAGGTGTTCCACTGTTAGAATTATCATTACAATGAAAAAGGATCTTTTGCTACCCTTTGGTGATAGCAAAGAAGTGACCCTTAAGGAGACCTCATTCCAGTTCAGAGCACACCTTAGAAAAAGAAAATGTGAAGGGAGAGAGCTTATGGAGCAGCTTAAAGACAAAGGAAATTGGGCTGGGCATGGTGGCTCTTGCCTGTTATCCTAGCACTCTGGGGAGGCTGAGGCAGGTGGATTCCCAGAGCTCAGGAGATTGAGACTAGCCTGAGCAAAAGTGAGACCCCCATTTCTAAAAAATAGCCAGGTGTTGTGGGCACCTGTAGTCCCAGCTGCATGGGATGCTGAAGAAAGAGAATCTCTTGAGCCCATGAATTTGAGGTTACTGTGAGCTATGACCCCACAGCACTCAACACAAGACAACAAAGTGAGACTGTCTCAAAACAAAAAATGAGAAAGGAGACTCGGTACCTGTAGCACAGTGGTTATAGCACCAGCCACATACACTGAGGCTGGTGGGTTTGAACCTGAACCAGGCCTGCTAAACAGTGACAACGGCACCAAAAAAATACCTGGGTGTTGTGGTGGGCACCTGTAGTCTCAGCTTCTTGGAAGGCTGAAGCAAAAGAATTGCTTAAGCCCAAGAGTTTGAGGTTGCTGTGAGCTGTGACACCCCAGCACTGTACCAATCGTGACAAAGTGAGACTCTATCTCAAAAAAAAAAAGAGAGGCTCGGCGCCTATAGCTCAACCGGCTAAGGCGCCAGCCACGTACACCTAAGGTGGTGGGTTCGAATCCCCAGCCCGGACCTGCCAAAACAACGACGGCTGCAACCAAAAAAAAAAAAAAATAGCCGGGCGTTGTGGCGGGCGCCTGTGGTCCCAGTTACTTGGGAGGCGGAGACAGGAGACTCGCTTGAGCCCAGGAGTTGGAGGTTGCTGTGAGCTGTAATGCCACGGCACTCTACCCAGGGGGACAGCTTGAGGCTCTGTCTCAAAAAAAAAGAGAGAGAGAGAGAGAGAAAGGAAATCAGGCTGAGTCCCTGAGGCTTTGGGAAACAGATTAGCGTTTAGAGAACTAATAAAATATTGGGTGAGTTGGGTTTGAGTTATCTCCTACTCCTATCCTGGCTCCCATACATAATTTAACTTCTTACTTTCCTCCTCTAGTTTCTTTAGTAATTTGTATACCCCTCTTTGTATCACTTGTTTGCACATGGATCTCACCGGTTACATTGTGAGTAGTTCTTTTAGGACAGGAGCTATATTTTACTCATCCTGATTTCTTGATTCCTAGCACAGTACCTAAAAGATGCTTAAAAATATCTAAGTATGAAGTATTATAACAGGCCGGAAGCCTCGTGTTATAGATGGTAATTTTATCAGTGATCAATACATTGGTTAAATCACCACATAAATCATTACAGGAATTGCAGAACAAGTCACTTCTATTTAGGTATTTTCTTTTTTACAAAAAAACTAAAGTGCTAATGAGAACTCATTATTTTAGGTGATTGATGAGATTTATCGTGTGTTGAGATATGTCAATTCTACCAGAGCCCCTCAACGAGCTCATGAAGTTCTTCAAGAATTAAGGGATATTTCTTCCATGGCAATGGAATACTTTGATGAAAAGATTGTTCCAATTCTAAAGAGAAAATTACCAGGATCAGATGTGTCTGGAAGACTCATGGGGTCTCCGCCAGGTATCTCTTGTTTATAATATGTTCAGTTTGTACACAGTTTTATAACTTTTCCCCCCACTTAACAGTATATATCTTAACTCAGACTTTTCTGGGTCAGTAAATATTTATTTGCAACCTCTTTTTTAATGACAGATTGAATTATAGATTAGAACTATTAGGCCCATTTGTTGTTTCTGGTTTTTCGGTGTTTAACCTGTACTCTAAAGCTAAATCTGAACAATTTTATGGCTAAATCTGTGCATACCACAATTACTCATGTAAAAAAGATTTTTAGAAGTAGAATTGCTAACTAAAAAGTTATGTATAGGCTCGGCGCCTATAGCTCAACCGGCTAAGGCGCCAGCCACGTACACCTATGGTGGCGGGTTCAAATCCCCAGCCCGGACCTGCCAAACAACAATGATGGCTGCAA